TGGCAGGCTCAGAATACTCACGGTGACCCAAACGGGATCTGTGGAGGGGCTCCTGCTGCCCAGTGAAGAGCAGGGCTCCACAAGTCTGTGACAAGGTGAGTTACGTGTGTGTGTGCTCACTCATGCATGTGTGTGTGGCTATGGGGTAGGGAGACATGGCTATTGGTTGAATAACCAACACATAAGATGCACTCACCTGTTTCCACCCACTGTAATACATGGCTTCATTGTAAGGCTCCGAAGAGACTGGAACCAGATCTCAATCAGACTGGTTCCCTACAGGATCTGGCAGGAAAAATGGGGGTGATGGCCTCACTGGAGACTGGAAGATATTGCAGCAAGCTTGAAGATGTGGGCAGAACCCCCATCAGAAAAAGCTGATTCACAGGGGACCTGAGAAAGGCACTGCCTCTTCCAACATTACCCCCTGGCCGCATGTTCCTAGACTGGACAGAGTTCCAGTCACTGGCTCCCCTGGCCTTGGCCCCAGGCCTGGCACTGCCCCTTCTATTTCCAAGTGAGCTTTATTTGTAAAAGGAGTATAAGCGTCACTGATCAATCACCTCCCTGCAGTAAGGTCATGTTTAAAATGGAAAAAGAAAATAGTAAGCTGCAAGGTCTTGTCTCCTTCGAGCGGTGTCACTTGGGGCCACTCCCACCCTCCCCTCATCTCAGTTACCTCCTCTGTAAGAATGAGGGCTTCAACCTTTACTAGCCAGGAGGCAGTAAGTCTGGACCGGGAGCTTCAGAAGGAGTAGTGACCCTGGTCGTCGCAGGCCCAGCTGGAGCCAGCTCTGCCACTGGACTCCAGTTTCTGAGACCAGTTTCTAGTCTTTCAGGCTAAAAGTTGTCGGGTGGATTCCGCAGCCGAGGTCTTTGCTTCTCCCCACCGCTGCTCCTCTGGTGGCTTTGGCATGTGGGCCGTGACTCTCGGCACACCGGTCCTGACTTCCTTCCTCTTCAAGGTCTCTGCTGTTAAATTTGACACAGTCAAAGACGACTTGCTAGCATGAGAAAGGACCCTAGGAACTTTTAAAATGTTAAACAAAGTCTGATAGGATTTCCAGGTGGAAAGAAGGTAGAGTCGTCTCCTGGATGCCCAGGCATGAAAGGAAAACAGGAGCGGGGAGAAGCGTAGACCTCGGAATTAACCGGCCGTGGATGATGGACCTCAGAACCTAAAGCTGAGTGATGGAGGTGGCTCTGGCTGAGCCAGTGATGACCAGAGTCCCTGCCCATTGTGTGCCTCCAGGTCCACAGACTCAGCCTCTCAGTGCAGAAAAACAGGAAGCCCTCAGTCTTCCAGTGGGGACGACTGAGGTGAGGAGAGGGAGGTGAGAGCCCAAAGCAACACCATTTGTGAGGCGTAAAGCCTTCCCTTCTTTCTTCTGCTGCTTTCTCCATTTTGAACCTAAGCTCTACACTGCGAAGCAACCAGTCACTGTTTGTTATATCACTTTTATGAACAAGGAAAGTGAAGCTCTATAGAAATTTAAATATCATTGTCATTTAGAAAGAGAATAGGCTGTGCCAGGCCTGAGGCCAAGGCCAGAGGAGTCAATAGGCATTGGACACTGTGTCTGGGACTGTGTCTGGCGAAGGAGACTTAGGGCCAGGAGATGCTGTTGGGACACCCTTCCAGAATGTCCTGGGCATGAGATCTCTCTGATGGGGTCTTGCCTCCTCTACAGTTTGTGAACCGGCTGTAATCTCTTGCAGCCCTATCACGAACCAAATTTTTGTGTTTGCAGCCCTATCATGAACCAAATTTTTGTGTTTGCACAAAATTCACAAGTTGAAGTTTTAGCTCCCAGTGGGATGGTATCTGGAGATGGGCTCTTTGGGAGGTAATCGGTGTTAGATGAGACCATGAGGGTGGGCCCTGGTTTGATAGAATTCATGCCCTTATAGGGAGAGAG